AAAAATGCCACAAAAGTATGCCATAAAACAAAAAACATTACTACTCCTCCTTGTTTTGTGGGAATCGTATGGACAACAAACGCTATAAGTCAACTTTATAAGTCAGAAAAATTAGAAACAGTGAGCTCTAGTACTAATAAAGATTACTTTTTGATAACCAACAAATTAACGCAAGACGCTTTAGAAAATTTATTTTCAATAATGCGACAAAAAAATGGGTATGTATGTAACAAATAAATTTATTAAACATTCAATATTTATATCTTTATCTCACATGGGGTTTTAAAAATAAATAATTTCAAAAATACTATTAATAGACTATTATTGGTACGGATTAATAATTTTTTTCAAATATTAACCTAATTCATAACTAATTATATTCTAATCTAATTTTTATAGTTTTTAAGAACTTAACATAAAAATCATAAAATTTAAAATTTTTTTTTTTTAAATTTTACAGTAAAAAAATAAACTTAAAACATCATTTTACATTTTGGGGACTAGAAAAATTAAAAAACAATGTTTAGTGGTATATTGCTGTCTGGAGTAAATGTCTTAAAAGAACTTAACTATATATTTTATTAAATTCGTTTAATATTATGCAAATATCAAAAAAAGATTTTGTAATTTATTAAAATTTTAACTTTACAAATCAAGTAGATAATAAGATTAATACATAAATATCATTAAATTTAATTATTTTGTTTGTTGTTTTAGATACAACAGGAACCCAACAGCTAGGACATTTCGATGCTGTTTCGGACACATATGTACGTATAGTTTGATGAGGTGCAGTTCAAATTGCAGTAACTGTGAACTTGATGAAGATGAATTTCTAACCGTGGATGTTTTAAAAGATATTTCAATAGATCCTGTTATAGAATCAACGTTTCAAACAGAAGAAAATTGCAATGCAAGTAATTCAGCTGACTCTGATTCAAGCAGTACTTCGTCGAAAAATTCAATAATAATAGAAACTGCAGATAATCCATCATTAGAAGTATGCTCTATTTCGTACTTTGCAGGTTATTTGGCAAAAAAATGTTGGGATAAATTTGGGTGTACAAATTGTAACTTAACCAAAAACAAAAGTAATTTGAACGACAAATCAATTCTTTTAATATTATTCAGAACTTACAATGAAATTGAACCAACACAGGGACTCAAAGCTCCAACAGATGAATTTTTGGACATAGTAACAATATGCTTACACATTTTTGAAAAAACCTTTCCAAAAATTAAAAGTGAAAAAAAAATATTAAGCCAACTAAAAGATAAAGCATTGATGCAAATTAATAAAAAATATACACATTTTCAAAATTCAAAATGCCATTGCCATTACATGTATGTTATTGAATTGTTGTTTAGAACAAAAATATTTAAAGAATGTAAAACAGAAAATTCGAAAATTGGAAAAAGAACGGTACAAAATGCAGATAAGTTACGTGTTTTAGAAAATAAATAATTTTAACTGTATATGTCATATGATATAATTTACATATAATAATTATATCTAAAAACTTAATATTTTATAGGTATTATATGATTTTTGTTCCTTGCTATTATTATTATTTGTCTTCAATAAAATATTAATTTAATTAGAATGAAATATTTATAACTATTTATATCGCTACGTCGGCGCGCCGGCTGCCACTACTGAAAACCTGTTTACCCTGCACCGCACTTGACCATTTGACAGAAGCTAAAATGAAATATGAATTTACTAAATGTTATTATTGGTTCTTATCGCCATCTACCGAGATTTTTTTGTAGACCATCGAAAAACCGCCCAGTGAGCAATCTATAGTATTTATAATCAATGGTAATACATTTGTAGGTCAGATAATTTATTTTTTGTACCTACTATTTCGGGGGGTGTTTAAACCCCTACCCCCCCCCCCTGCGTTCGCCCCTGGGCGTTTGTAATACATAACTTCTTTTAAGAAAGCATAGTAATATTTCTTTGTACAGATTACCAATTTTATCATGCAATTCTAATATGACTAATTGCTCTGTTTGGAAATACATATTAAACCTACAGTATACAACATAATATGGATATGATTATGAAATTAATAAAAATACGATTTATAATTATTTATAGTAATATACCTAATACAATTAATAGGATTACATGAAAATACGGACAAAAATCTATATTTATACTTCTTAATTTTGATAGGGTCATGAACAACAGTAATAGTTAATTAGTAAATAGATATTAAATAACATTAGTTTCATTTCTATATCAATAGTTTTAATATTAGTCATTAAACCTTTTGAAGCCCTGCAATATAGTATGAGACACTATATTATATGGCACTGTTAAAATATGTTAATTAGTTAATAATTTGTATACCTTGTAAATAACGGCAAGCTCCAATTTAAAAACAAAAACCCAAGCTTTATGAATGGATCATTGAATCCACGGTATATAGTCTCAGTTGAAATAAAACGTTGACTTAAGTAAGTGTCAGTAAAATAGAGTTTCAGACTATCCCATTGTTCTAATATTCTACTGACTACTGCAATTAGAGATAACCAACGCGTTTGTAAAGGATGTAACATTTTGTGGGGTTTAAGATTCAAAAACATCTGAAATTGTTTAAGTTCTGCTTGCCTCTTTGAACTACTCTTTAGAAAATTGAAAATATTTCTTGCCATATCCTCTAAGGCACGATGCAATTGTTTACATGCATAACTTGCACATAAGTGGGCCGAATGGCATACACATTTCATTATAAAAATGCCTAAAAACATAATGAAGTTACATGAAAAAAATTCAAACACACTTTTTTGTAAGTGTTTTATACTTGGACATGACTCACGCAGTCGAGAAACAACAGAGTTATGTTTACCCATCATAACGTTACATCCATCACTACCAAAACCAATTATATTGGTTAATGGTATTTCATACTCATTAAGCGTGGAAATCAAACCGTTATAAAGGTGTTCGGCACTGGCTGAACTAGGATTATCTGTGTCATAAACATTGTGTAGTTGCCAAAAATCGCTTTCTATCATTTCACTAGATTCATCATAAAATCTGGAATAAAAAATTATATTTATATTAAAAAGTACTATATTATATAAAAAAATATATAATTACCTTGCCACTACACAGGAAGTTTTTATTGCACCAATATCAGTTGACTCGTCTGCCATCAGGCTAAATTTTTGTTTTTTTAATTTCTCAAATAAAATGAACTTTTGAGAACTACCAATTACATTTTTAATAATCGCTGTCGTTTTAGTTCTCTTAACGTTAATATTCTTCGCGATTTCTGAGTCAGGAAATACTTCCGTAAGTAATTCTGACAAGTGATCGGCTCCTAAAAACGGCATATTATGTTCAGCAAAATACGCTGTTAATTTTATTTCGGCAATGGATACCAATTGCTTTTTTTTAATATCTGAATCAGTTTCCGTTGTGAACAGAAAAACAGGTGGTTGTTTTTTATGTCCACGCAACATAATTGATTTGTGTTTTTTACCAAGTGTGTGATTTTTTAAAACAGTAATTTCTGATTTTATTGTTTGCTTACAATATTTGCAGTATGCTTCATATTCGTTACATTTAACTGACATTAACCACGTTTTAAACAAGTGATTTTTCTGCCACTCTGTCCGAAATTTTTGTGAACGATGTTTTGTTTTTTCACTCTTTGCCATGTCACCGCCTCTTAGAATTTTGAAAAATTTAATTTTTAAACCAAGTATCTAACAAAAAAATTCTAAATTTTAATTTGAAAAGACAGTCACAGAACATCAGAACAGGACATATAACAATAAACAACGTACCAAAAACAAAAAAAAAGATAACAGTCAACCGATTAATATAAGACAACAAATAATTCAGAAAGTACAAAAATCTATTTTTGGATTTTAGTAAAATTATTAAATTATCGTATTTTTGTGTACGATAGTAAAGATTTATCGTACATCGTACACAATCATGAAATAATCGTATGCGTGCGATAATTATCGTACGGATGGCAACCCTGCTTAACACTATATATTTTAACCTAAATGTATAGTATATATTTATTATATGGGTACTTACCGAAGTGACATTTTCATAAATTTGATTTAAATGTAAGTAAAACAATAAAATGTTTATTTATTTAATTATTTTGTAAATTTGTGAAGAAAACAACAGAAAAGTTCTTAAATAGCAGTTTATCACTTATCAATATTCAAAATTTTTTCTTATCAACCACAATTAATTCTATAAACTCCCAGTAAATGATACAAGAATACAAAATAGTAATCAGTCTGTATCCCATTATTACAGAATGCTTTTGAATACTATTATTGACTACAGATACAAGCTTGTAGCCTTGTATCTAATTGTTTATACTTTTTTACAGAATACCGGCGCAGGCATGTAGTATTCTTGGTTCATCATATTGGAAATGTCCACGTTTGCTTTTGAAATCTAAATTTGATTTCATTTAAACTTTATTCCTTTTGAATTGCTTCAATAAATATCCATATTGTTGGAAGACATGAACTCGATAAGTATATCACTTACCACATATTTGCAAACATACAATTATACCTATTCTTATACTATTATGCGCTTAACTCATTTTCGTTAAAAAATGTACTTACTACATTTTTGAATTAAGCCATCGATATATTATGTACTATGCATATAACCACACAAATATTATCTTTATAAATATATAATCCTACTGTACGTGTGTATGTCACTGAACTCCAACTAAACGGTTGTAGATCGATTCTGTAACTCGATGAGACCTGTTATCTACGATTTTCGGTTCGTTAAAACTAACGAAACGACTCTATCGAAAAGTTATCAATATATTGATTCTGTTACAATTTTTTAACGAATTTCATCGTTAAAGTATAGAAAATATTTGATATCGAATAGGGTAGTTAGAAATGGCCGTTAAGCTTATCGAATCGTATAAATTCATAAAATATGATAATTAATCATTATCACACCGACACACGACAACTTCGCACTTTCACAGTTTCACACATTTAATTTATCTCAAGCCGTGTAATTAGGTACATCGTTAAAATACAAATAAAATACTTATAAATATTTATACCTACTTGTTCAATTGATATTTTTGCATATCTAGAGTTGGAAGAAAGGGTTAGGATGTTAGAAGAGAGTAGAGAGAAAAGTACTTAGATGCTCAAAATCCATATGATCTACCAATAAATGTATTCATGAACACATTCCGAGTTAGTCCACAACTTGCAATGGACTTATAACGAACAGCATTCGTGATTCACTTAAACGTGAACGTAGTTAAGGACTTCCAGTTGACATTCAAGTAATTATACAATTTTAGATATATTTTAATTTAAACATTGTTATATCTTATATAAAATTGTAAGGGTGTAACATTTTTACACTTGTTTCTTTTTAATTACCAATGTATTGGATTATCACAACATTTATTAGTCCATTAAATATAAATTATTTTTTTTTTATTTGTGCAATGTTGTTGTTTCGTTTTTGCACTTAGGTATTTGTAGTGGTAAACTTCTATGCAAAAGGTAGTTACCAACGAGCTACAGGAGATAATTGTATTGCAAATGTTAATCAACCCTCGGTCAGCAGGTGCATACATAGTGTAACCAATGCCATAAATCAAAAACTATTCATTTTCCAATGACAGCAATTGAGGGTGCTATTAGTGCTATTGACTGCACAATGCACACATATAAATATTCTTGCACCAAAGAATCACGAAAAAGCATGGGAACCATTCTCTTAATGTTCAAACGGTATGTATGGAATAATAATATCAATTGTGAAACACAAATAATTTTTGAAGTTTTAATTTTAGGTTGTCTATCCAGATTTAAAAATATAAAATATTAACGCCAGATTCCCAGGTGCAAGAAATGATTCTTACATATGGTGTGTTTCTCCTATACGGAGGGCTATGGAATTTCATTACAATAGGGGTGGAAGGTACACATGGTTAATTGCTGCTAATTAATTAAATATTTAATAATCCTAACTATTGAATTATATGAGTTATAAAAATGTTCATGATTAACTCAAGGTGATGCTGGTTACCCTCTTGATCTCTCAATCATCTGAATCTCGTTTATATCGTTTTGTTTGTATAGCTGTGTTGTAATGTTGAGGTAATATCATTAAATTCTATGTTCAAAATGTAAATACTAAGTCAGTACTACTTGTTTGGCATAAAGTATTACAAAAACTTGCTTGACATGATGGTAAGTATTCTTTACATGTTATGCATATATATTTATTAAAAATGTTATAAATGTATAAAATGTATTGTTCTTATAACTTGGTTCTAGTTTAATACAAAAAAAAAAATAATGTTTGTCTCATAATAATTAAAGAGTAGGCCTTACTTATACTGATTAGTGATTACTGATAATCGAATATGGTTACTTATGTATATAATATAGAGGGTGTAATACTGTATAGAAATACCTGACAATTTAGAAAAATTTTGTTCTAACAATATTTTTAAATTTTTTTTATTTTGTAACTCAGAAAATAAAAAAATAAAATCTGATATGAAATAATTTCTAAGTTAAGTTTTTAGATAAATTTTGTTGTAAAAAGGTCAATGTATTACTATAATAAATAAATATCAGATATTTTGACATTTATTTTTATTTTATTTTTTTTTTTTTTGTGCTTTTGCCGCTTTCGGAAACTAATGGGGATTTTACCTTCCGAATGAACTAGATTTATTTAGGAAAAGATATTGAAGTTGAAAATTAAGGCATTATTTTGACTACTTATCGTTTAAACACAAAAAAAAAAAATAAAAAAAAATCAATAGTTATATTGAATTAAAGTTTACCTGTAGCCCACGAGTCAATAAATTATATAGATTTTTGATTATAACAAAAATAATTTTATTTATCAGGTCTTCTTGTTACGTCCAGCATAATATACATAAAAAAGGTAAATATCCTTTTAATTTATTTAGATTGAATTTTAGAGTACACAGTAATTTAGAAACTGTTCCCTCTCCGAGTATATCGCAACCAAATGCTGATGTTTTCTACGATACAACTGGTAATACTTCCTATAGATTAAATGCGGAATCACAGCCAGATACACTAAATAATTGGGATTTGGAAAAAAGTTTTGAATCCATAAAAAATGGCAATTAAAAGAAATACCTTTGTTTTTGTGACGCCTTGGATGGTTTATATTCACAATTGGACCAGATAGGTCCGATCCGGGGAATTGCTCAAACAGGGATTTTAAGATTTAAGAAGGAAATATTTGTTTATATACGATCGATTAAGAGAAATATAAATATATTTAGAAGACATTTTTTTCATTGGTTGTCCGGTAGATAGCGCTGTTGTCGGTAACTATGTTATTTATAAATTAAATTATTTATGTATTTTAATTACTGGATTGACTTGAATGAATATTTATGTAAGCATTCATTCATTCATTCATTCATTTGATTAATTTTGTGTATGTATTCATTCAATGTATTTAATTTTTTTGTACTGAATGTTTTGATATTATATGTATCGCATTTCAGTTAATATTAAGTGTATCATATTCAGATATAAGTTACGTACATAAAACAATGCCACGTCTACGTGAACGATGAGGACATATTGGACGACGGTCTCGGACTGGAAAAACCTTTCTCATGCCACTAATTACAAAAATCATATTGCGTCAGCAATTGCTTCATCAGGTATTGCCAGGCGCGGATCCAAGGGGGGGGGGTCATGGGGGTCATGACCTCCCCCAAAAAACATAGGTCCTTCGTGTTTATTTAAAATTATAGTGTATGTATAAATTGCACTTTTTATTTTGTTTACAATTAGATATTTTTTTTCAACATATTATATTACATATTCTATTTATATACATTTAAACTACATCACCACTTGTTCATAAAATTATAATTTCCATCCAATTTCTAAGAATATTAATAGCGATTATAAACTTACTAATAGACTATAATATTGTTGGCGATTAAATAGTAAATCTGCGGTAATGTTCGAGTGTTCGACGGAAAGATAAGATTCTTGTCAAAGCAGTCAAACCGTATGTCTATATAA